GGGGTTATCGGTGCAGCGTTGGGAGAATTTACAAGCACTGATCTCCCTGTCTGGTTTTCAATAAAGCAGCAGAAAGCCGTGGGATGGAGAGGAGGAGAAGCGGCTTTCAGCTGCTTTATTGAAAGACATACAGGGAGATCACTGCTTGTAACTGCTCCCACCACTGCTCAGATCACCCCCGACTTTTCATTTCACCTGCTGCAGTAGGTGCCAACCAGGGACCACCTCCCTACTGGCTTTGGGCACTCGAGCATGCCAAAATGGTTAGTCCACCCCTGCTCCTGATACATCTTATCCATGGGTGCAGGGTGTTCACAGCACAGTGCCCCCACCCCCTCCCCCAGGGCCTGTGTGCAGTGAACACCCTTTGATGATACGCCACTGTGCCACTGTCTTCTAAAACTCACTGATCACTTTGGAAGGTGGTAAGGAAATGAGAAGGATGAATGACAGCCTGTAAAATCTCTTCCCTCCTGCAGAGTGTAGCAGTACCTGCGAAATGTGATGTAACTGCACTCAGTTGCTTTATAGTTTGTCATCACAGGTTTCTATGGCAATGAGGCATGAAAACTTTTAAATTCAACTGGGGGTTTCCACCACAGGATGCTGTCCCATGAGGTCAAATAATTTCCACATGGCTACACAGAGCTATGTCTTTGCATAAATCAAGTGTAAGGTAAAATTTTTAATATTATGTACAAGAAGGAAGTAGAGGTATGTAAAAAGGAGAGGAGGGGTTTACAGTTGGTTAGTCAGATTAACAAAAATAATGGGAGATCTCACTTTTAATGAAAGATGAGAAAAACTTGGCGTGTTTAGTTTGGGAAAAAAGAAGCCTTTAGATATGACTTATTTAATATATGTAAAGTTGAACTGTACCTAAGCTACAAATGTTATATTTAATTTTTAGATTTTTTTTTTAATCTGCAAGGCATTAGTGGCCTTTAGCAGGTCTTATCGCCCATTCATATACTTTGCATATCAATATAAATACAATTCTTGACTGCTTTATGAATGGAGAGGGTGACAATAAGCAATGGGTGACAATAATCACTGCCAGCTCCTTTGCATATTCCAGCTCAGGGAATGGTCAATGCAGGGCATCGCTAACCCTACGTGCAGAGGTCACCATTCCGGAGAGTGCAGAAGAGCTGGGGCCATGTCAATGGCTTCACTATTAATAATAACAGGCACTGCTGCATACAGCTGAACTATAGTGATATGCAAGGCATGTAAATAGGGAACTAATCTACCGTACTTACCAATGCCTTATAAATATTAAGATCCACAATTAAAGCATAATTGAGCATCAATACAAAATTCAACATCTGTAGTTTGGGTATATTTTAGCTTCATCTTAAAAGTGTACATCAGTCATCCCTGAGTGGTCTTGACTACTACCTCTAAGCATTTTGTTTTTCTATGGGATCCCTTTTGGGCTCTATGTTATTTAAAAGCAGATCTCTATTCAATGCAAACAGGTGTACTGGTGTTACTACCTTCCTTCAATCCATAGCTCTACCCAGTGTTCAGACTACTGTAGAAGGCTACCGATGCCTCTGTATGTTTTGAACCACTAGAGGGACATTATGCACTTGGGTAAAGCTCATATGGCAATATACTTTGTTGAAATTACATGAAACAGCTGCTTAATGTCATTTCAATAAAGGATATTTTCATTTGACGTTTACCCGAGTGCCAACTGTCCCTCCAGCAGAACTCTATTCAGTACTGTTATTTTAAATTATTTTAGTGTTTAGGGTCTTAGATGTTTGTGCAATCAATTTTGATTTCATTCTAGAGGAAAATAAAAATAAACAATAACATGGACATTATATGGTTCATGGTAATTTCTTTTTATATAGGCTAGATAGGCTAGTAAAAGAGAGCAAATCCACAAATGTAAGTAATATGTTGCAAATAGAACAAATATATGAGCAGTAGTATATAGGAAAAAATGGGGTTTTCATGGGGGAAGTGAGATATGTATTTTAAGGATGTGGGGTGGGGAAGGGAAGGGGGGATTGAAAATGGTGCCTCCATATTCAATACTGGTAGAATGTTAAGTTTGCCAAGAACTTGAAGTGGTCCCATAAGGACTGGCAATTTGGTTTATATTTGTCCACCTGTCAATAGACCATCCACTCCAGCTGCTCAAAAACTTTTGAGATAACCCAAAAACCCATTATGCTACAATCAGAGGTTGTAGTAATCTCCAGGGTCTAGAGATGGTCATGTGTGCTGCAGCTAAGAAGTAGTGCAAGAGACCATGTTTAATATTTATATAGGTTCCTGGATTGGGAATTTAATGCATAGATAATTCTTCATTTCATGGTCTGTAATTAATTTTTAAATAGCGAAAATTCTGTTGAAGTAAGGTTCAATGAGGAAAGCATGTATTACAAATTTGGTCCTTTTCTTTAAGACATCTCCATTGGATGACAATGCAGGATCACAGGCATAAATGTCTGTAAGACAGCGACACCATCTCAATATTATTTTATAATTGAGTTCTTGTAGTCTACTGGAGATGATGAATTTGTGGGAGAAGGTAAAAAATGTTTCCCAATCTGTTGGGTCAGTGGGAAAATGTAGTTCTAATCCCCAATACTTAGTATATTTAGGCCTTTAGTTTAATGTCCTGAAGCAGGAGGGATTCAAAGGTGATGTGTGGTCTAGTGAAAGGAGCAATGGACAGGAAAGAGCCTATAAATATCAAGAGTTGGAAAAGTCCAAACAATGTAAGTTTTCTTTAGGGAATGAAAGGAAATAGGTAATTCAAAGGACATATCTTGATATTGTGTAGGGTCTGAAATATATTGGGGTTATCTTGTGCTTGCCACCAAGAAGTGTGGTTTATATAAGGTCAGGGAGAAGTCTTGGTACTGAAACGAGGGTGTTAGAGGGCCCAGTCTTCCAGATGCATAGCCTCTCTCTATTAGATGATCCCAGGTAAATAGGGAGGAGGCAGTCAAAATAGCATAGAATGCAATTTAGGCTGAGAAGACAAGGTCAGTCAAGAGAGGGCAGTGAGGTCACTTGTTCTTCTAGTCATCCCAGAGTTTTTTCTGTCTGTGCTTAAACCAGTCAACCAATCTTGTGAAGATGACTGCATAGAAGTACAGTTTTTTCAGGCAGGGCAAACACCCCTCTTTCCTTAGGTCAAGGTAATTTGGGATTTTTTAAGACACCATACACTGACACGAATATAGTGGTAAGGTTAAGGGGGGGGAGGGGGGGTTTTTGTAAGAGTATTTTTGGCAGATATTTTTGATCTCCAAGACTGCAATCTTTGTTGGGGTTTATCTCCATGAATCTGTACTTCCACTGAAGAGATTCTCCTTCATTTCCTTTATAAAGAAGAATTTTTACATGGTAGTAGAGTCGAAAAAAACATTAGAGCCTCTGCCAGATTGTTACTGTTTCAGCTGGAGTTATGCTCACATTTGCATGTTCTTCTGGTGGGTTTTATCGCTTCCATTATAATGTTACAGTAGCTCCCATCAATATGCTGCTGACATATGGCTCTATATATCTGTTTTATCTGATGTTCATAGGCCTGTCAGTTCTTTCTTTGACTGCACTGGAGAATTTAACTTGTGGAGGTTATAGGCTATTGTTATTGAAAGTGCAGAAAGAAAAATATATTATTTTGATTTTTTATAATGTAAAGAATATTGTGTCTCTTTTATAGTAACCTCAGTATCTGTAAAGCAGCCTATTGTTAGATAGACAATTCTATTTTTTGTGATATTCTCATTTTTAACAGTGAGATTTTTTATTTGACCTATTTTATAGTGTTCTATTTGATCTGTGGTACACTTGGTAATTATTTATTAAGAAACATGATTTTACAAATAAAGATTATCAGTAGCATATTATTGAACGATGGTTCTACCATCAGTTTATAGAAGATGCAAGTGGAATACCTTACAATGCAAGACAGTGAATGGCAAATTTACTAAGCGATACATAGTTAGATTACTGAATGGTAATGTGGGAATGTTTTGATCCAGTGAACTGACCTTCCATTTGCAGGAATGATTTTTTATCCACTGGGAGCAAAGAGGCAAGGGTGCCTAGCAGATTTTATTCTGCCCTCCTCTAGACAAAGATTGCTTGAGTTTATTTTATGAAAGGTTTCAAAAGAAGCACATCTCTTTTTTTTTTAGCCTGTTTCCATTAGAAATGATATGCTTCCTTATAAGTGACCCAAGATTTATGTGTTTTACAGTCTACGTTCACCACAAAGGCAACTAGGAGAAAAACACACTAATGCTTTTCAGTAGTGTAGACTATTAATAGTACCAATGTGTAGCTGTAAAGACCACTTAGCAGCCATAGACAGAGGTCCTTAAATTTCACTTCCATCCTACTTGCATGTGATCATACTAGGTTATGGCATGTGATCTAAGGGCACAGCTGATATCCTGGAAAAAAGAAATCTGTAAAAAAAATGTTTTTGCAATTTACTCCCTCTCCAGAATTGGACTTGCCAAGCTTGTGACAGGCTTACTTTAGGTACATCAGTGCAACTGGTACCTAACTCTCCAACATGTTAAGCAATGGTACTATAACATGAATATTCATACATAGTTCAAAATATAACAGCACCACCTGAAAAAGCAAAGCAAAGATTGATGAAGTGGTGCACCAAAGTAGGCCTGCCCTTCAGACTTAGAATACATAATAATCTAGCCTCTTAGAGAGCTCTGGAGGGTTAAAATGTTGCTTTTTATGCCAGTAGTTTCCATTATAAAAGAAAATAGCATTTCAAAATCGGCAATGTGGCACGTGCTTGAATTTTAGATAACAGTAATAAGATGCACAAAAACCTTTTTTAAAATGTCAAAAAAATCTCTTCTTTGCATATGTTCTCTTTTTAGAATAGGATCTGCTACAAAGTGACAAATTCACTTTAAAGATATAACAGAGTTGTCATGTTTAGTCAGGTGTTGACATCCCAGGTCCAAGCTACAGAAAATAGAGCGGACACTCACTGTGTTCTGTTGACTTCAGCATTTGCTATTGCACTGATGAATGGCACAATCTTCCCATAATGTAAAAATAGTCGCACCAAAGGTATCGCAGCTTCCTGTTTTTCTCTGCACACTTCACCCAACACATGTGCAGCAGATGCTGAAACAGGCTGGAGAAAGAAGATATCAGAGATTAGGACTTTCGCAGTTTGCGAGTATCACGTCATCATTTTAGACAGTTGATGTAACATAGTCAAGCACTCATTGCTGTTTAAATAGTTATTGTCCCTATTTAAAACACAAAACATATACAAAGCTGTTAGATTTAAATAACTGTCCAAGTAAACACATGTGGTAGATGCTAACCTGACCTTTTTAAGTTCATATGTTTAGAAGCTCTCAATGTTTTGTTGCAGTTGTCAAATTCTAAATCTGCTCTCAATATGGTAGGTTTCATCAAAGTACACATGTGTCGGGAAGTTATATTCAAAGCAATGGGTTTTTGCATCCAGGGCTCCTAATCCACCGTTAAACTATGCATGTTCATTTACATGCAAATGGCCACGAATGGTTGTGCTGTCAAGCCTCCCATTGCTTTGAATGGGGCTTCCCATCTGCAGCTGTTTTCAGGAAACCCTGCTGAGTCTCCCATTGGAAATCCTATTTGGTTCCATATACAAAAGTGAATGAGCCTTAAAAAATAATTGTGTAAGGTCGGCCATAGATGGGTCAAATCTTCAGCAGGAACCAGTTGAGATTCTAACCATGTATGGAGAAGCTGAATGTACTCAAGCGATCAATGGATTAACTTGGGTGTCAGATTTTCTTCAATGGCTCGGCGGGAGGGATTCCCCTGGAATACCCAGGGTTGCAGGAAATATTTGCACCGTCTGTGGCCTGCCTTACAGTACAGATAATAATGACTGGATCAGGATACCCTTTGTGACAGATACCCCCCTGCCGGCCAATTGCAGGGGAAAAAAATTATTTTTCGGAACTTCTTTCCCTAAACATCACTGTTTTTGCTTTAACTGAGGTCTGAAGAGACACCTAGGCATTATGTTCAACACCCAATAGTGTTTAAATCTATGTATAATTACTTTAACCTGTGTTTTATAAAGCAAGGCAAATGGGTTTGTTTAACTGCATACCCTTCCACTGCTTATACTCATCTACCTTTTGCCCCCTTCACTGCTCCAATTAACAGTTACTAAAGAAGAAAAAGTCCTGTGTGAGCCTTAAATCATTCTGGCCAAAACTTACATAAGGTTAGTGATTCTCTCCTCACCCTGACATAACAGTGATTGGTGTGTGTTGCTGTACTTTTCAGGAGGGAGCTACCTCCAGATGAGCCCACTCTTAGTTTGCACATTGCTATAAATGTCCCCCTTAGTTGGGGAATCAGGTAGTTTTTTAAGTTAGCAACCCTTGGCGCAGCAGTATGACTTCAACACGTATTTGTAAATGGATTCAACTAAAAAAAAATTTTTATTTTTTTTTGCCTAGCTTGAAAGTGTGCTGGGACCCCTGTTGTATTATTCACGTGACGGTGATTGGTCAGCAATTAAATGTATATGTTTTTTGTCCTGTCTGGTAACTTTTACTATGGGAGAAATTCAACTGTCAGTTAATGGTTACATAAAAACATAAATATATCTAAATTGTAATTATTGTTAGTCCATATTATCATTTACCATGATATACCAAATAACAAAAAAATAAGCAAGGTACAGAAATACTACCTAGGCGCATGGGTACATAATTATGGAAAATGATATTTAGTTATTGGAAATAACTGCACACTGCTCCTAGAGCACGTTAGCGTTTTGCCTGTAGAAGCAACTAATGTTATCCTCTGTGTCCATGCACATTAGGTAGTCTAGAGGCTTTTTTATGCTCAGCGTTTAGAGGCAGAAAAAAAAAACTTCTTCTGTTTTGCGTTTTTGAGAGTGGTTTTGTGGCAGAAAAAAAAACACTAAACGCTAGTCCAAAAACCCCTCAAAATTTGTCTTTTTTTTTAGCCAAGAGCTCTGGCATTTTTTTAAGCCAGTGTGCACAGAGCCTTTGGATCTCATCATTGTTTGAAGCACAATACCAACAATTTAATAAATTACACTGCACAAATATTAACTCTCTTCACCATACTGTTTCCAACATGTCTGCCATAATCAGATATATTAGCAGAAACTGGCTAAACATGAACGTGTGTGACAAGTGTCAATGCAAAAGGCTACAGAATAGCACAAAACACTGACAGATTATAGGAGGAACCTCACCAAGTTTCAGCTAATGCAATGCTAATTGTTTTACTGTTTTGTGACTAATGAGAGCTTAGGTAGTTTCTGAAAGTTAAATTTTTATACAATGAATAATCAAATGATTATACCAGGAACAGGAAGCCCTATATCTAGACCCCAAGTATGTCATTTGCTTTTTACTACTGCCAAACTAAGGAGATCAAACAAAACTAAAGACGACACACATGACGTAAGCAACAAATGTCAATTAGATTATGATAACTTAGCATTACAGTATGAACAAAGCCACACACTGTCTGTGAGAATGCCAGAATACTTATTACATTAGGGTCACATGTACACTCTTCTGTGTCACCTTAGTTTAGGTCTAGGATATTTGTCCTAAAAAGCTCAAGTTGTCTGATCAAATGAGTCAAGTCCTAATCTGGGCCAGATGCCAACCAGTTGCCCACAGCCCAACACAGCAGGTATGCGCTGCAGCTTGGGGGATCTCACTCATCTCATGGTTCTTTAAAGAAAAAAAAATATCTGCATTTTTGGTGCTTGTTAATATCTACTCCCCCAGTCTGTGATTGAATATTAAAGAAGCAGCACATCACCCGTGCACAGTCCCCTCCGGTAAACAAGTTCAGTGTTGGCCCAACAAACACTGCACAAAATAACGGAGCTCTATCAGAGCTCTAACATTCTATGGTCCCCATCACTCTATTGTGGTTCACTCTGGTGTATTAATACATTAGGGCAGCCCATTCATTATGATTGGGCTACCAATGCACCACAACAGACCAAAAAAATGCAAATGACCCTTTTCTGGTAATGGTATGCACGTTGCAGCAACTCTTGCTAATACATGCCTTGTACTGCATGTTACCTCAATGCAGAAGTCTGAATGGGCCCTAAGTATTGCTCTGCAGTGGATTACAGGATGTTAAAAAATTGATTTAACAAGTTTAAAATAGATTAAATAAATATATTCCCACTGCCCAGCATTAAATGAGGCAGTTGCAGGCTTCTTTTATGTCATAGGCCTGTGTTACAGATTCAGGGGTGTGGACATTTTTGAAAAAAAAACTACTTGTCCATGGACTAAAACATTTTTGCTTTTTTTTTTATATCATCACATAGGGGACAAATCCCCCTATGTGATGATTTTTGGGTGACAGGTTCTCTTTATTGAGGCATCCAGGGTCTAAAAGACCCTGCATGTGTCCCCTGTGCTCCACTGAATGTAATATAGTGCACATCGCACCACATTACATTCTTTCCTGGATTCCATGACCAGGAATCTCTCAACGGGAACCAGGAAGTGACATAACGTCACTTCCAGGCCAGGACACGAAAGGGAGGCTCTTCTCCCTCCACTCTAGCCGACTGCGGTGAGCCGGTCACAGGCCCGCAGATGGGCAAGCAGAGCCCAGGAGACCTCACTGGGGGAGTGGGGGTCGTTAGGCTGGCACTGTGTGGAAGTAATCGGGTGGCAGCCCAAATGCTTCCACCTGACAGGTGAGCATGCAGCTTGCCTGCAGCAGGACTAAAGGTAGAAAATAACTACCTGCCCAACGACTACATGTCCTGGGCATCGGGAGATAGGACTCGAACATCCCTGAGATTATATGAATATAATGGAAACTAACTACAGTACATACTGTAAATATACGATATTATACAGTATAGGCCTAAGGTTCTTTTCACTAGCAAAAGTTCTTAGGTTGATTTACTAAAGGGGGAGAGATTAATCATTTTTGCAAAGTGAATTCTAAATAAAGATAACCATGGATTGCCAAATCGTCCGAGATTCGATCAATCTATGGGCAGGTTGGTTGTACTGAAGTCAATCCATCGAATGACTTCAGTACAACCAACCTGTTGGATTTTTTTCATGTGATCACTGCTTATGGCTATAGCAGTGATTATTGTGTTCTGCCAGCAGGGAAGGCTCCCCACTGGCAGAACACAATAGCGGTGCAGGAAGGATTCCCACATCAACACTGACTGTGTTGATGGGAAAATCAAGCAATTTTCTTTCCTTCCATCCATGGTGGAAAGAAAGAAAATTGCATAATCTATAGGCTACTTTAGCCTAGTCAATCTTTGAATGCCTAATCATGTGCAGGTAAACGGTAAAAAAAAAAAAAACAGGATTTTTGTACATGAATGGATGATTGAAGTGAACACAGCTGTATCTCATTTACCAAGTTAAACTTCTTTAGTAAATCAACTCCACTATCTCAGTATACAAGCCATTTTTGTTCTGATTTCCACTTGGCATTACTCCACTAAAATGGCATATTTGTAGCAAATTAACATCTTGCCAACTAACAAGAAATATTAGATACTTAATTTTCTATACAAGGAAATTATAGAACACACTGCGCATAAGGGTGAAAACAGGGGGCTTCCTCTTTTTTTTTTTTTTTTTAATAGGAAGGCTGGGGTGTGTCAATTTCACACATGAACACATAACTGTTTGTTTTTCTGCTCATCACAAGATTCAATCAGTTTAGAAACCACAAGAGTCACCTTTTAACGGATGTATGGTCAGAACAAGAAAACCAACACCCTATTTCTTGCACATCTATGCGTAACACAGGGATTTAAGTAGTAAAACTGAAAGAGTAAACCGATACAAACCATCGTTCAGGTGTTCTGAGAAAAAATGCTGGGGAAAAATATTTCAGAACAAATGTCCCTCATATTATTTAAACATTAAATATTTTTTTAATATATACGGTTTATCTATGCATATTGATGTACAAAGTCCATTCACTCGACTGAACAATGTAGTACAATATGTGAATATAGAAACAACTGGCGGAAGAGGTAAAATTGGTCTAGAAACTGAATTGGGATGACATTTGAGTGTGGTTCATCAAGGCTTCCAACCAAATAGACAGTTGATTTATTTTTATTGTAAAAAAGAAAAGTAATAAATAGCGCCAACAGATACAACTTAATCTTTACCAGGCATCCCTTGACCGAAAAACTGAAGGAGCCAGGTGGAAAATTGTTGGCTGAACAATGGATGCATCCAATGAATGGGCTGTCGTTTCGAAGCAAACGCGGCTCGCAGAGCCACAATAGAGCAAACCTAGCCTAAAACTAAAATATATATATATATCTCAAAAAAATTAAAGGAACACTTTGAAAACACAACAGCTCTCAATGGGGAAAAATATCATGCTGGATAGCTATACTGATATGGACTGGGTAATGTGTTAGGAATGTAAGGATGTTTCATCATTTGATGGAAATGAACATTATCAACCTACAGAGGACTGAATTCAAAGACACCCTGACAATCAAAGTGAAAAAATTATGCAGCAGGCTAGTCCATTTTGCTGAAATTTCACTGCAGAAACTCAAAATGGTACTCAGTAGTTTGTATGGCCCCCACGTGCTTGTATGCATACCTGACAACCTAGGGGCATGCTCCTATAAGACGACAAAGGTGTCCTGGGGTATTACCTCCCAGATCTGGACAAGGGTATCACTGAGTTCCTGGACAGTCTGCGGTGCAACCTGGTGGCACTGGATGGATCGAAACATGATATCCCAGAGGTGTTCTATTGGATTGAGGTCAGTGTGTTTGACCATTCTTCCAGAAGCGCATTTGTGAGGTCAGGCACTGATGTCGGACGAGAAGGCCTGGCTCGCAGTCTTCACTCTAATTCATCCCAAAGGTGTTCTATCAGGTTGAGATCAGGACACTTGCTTTGTGCACTGCTGCGCAGTCATGTTGGAACAGAAAGGGGTCATCCCCAAACTGTTCCCACAAAGTTGGGAACATGAAATTGTCCAAAATGTCTTGGTATGCTGATGCCTTAAGAGTTCCCTTCACTGTAACTAAGGAGCCAAGCCCAACCTCCGAAAAACAAAGGCACACCATAATCCCCCCTCCACCAAACTTTACACTTGGCACAATGCAGTTATGCAAATACCGTTCTCCTGGCAACCGCCAAACCCAGACACGTCCATCAGATTGCCAGACAGAGAAGTGTCATTTGTCACACCAGAGAACACGCCTCCACTGCTCTAGAGTCCAGTGGCGGCGTGCTTTATACCACGGCATCTGACGCTTTGCATTGCACTTGATGATGTAAGGCTTGGATGCAGTGGCTTGGCCATGGAAAGCCATTCCATGAAGCTCTCTACACACTGTTATTGTGCTAATCTGAAGGCCACACAAAGTTAGCAGGTCTTTAGCTATTGACTCTGCAGACAGCGACTTCTGCGCACTGTGCGTTTCAGCATGCGCTGACCCCCGCTCTGTCATTATATGTCGCCGACCACTTCGTGGCTGAGTTGCTGTTATTCCCAGTTGCTGCCACTTTGTTATAATACCACTAACAGTTGACTGTGGCATATTTAGTAGCAAGGAAATTTCATGGATGGACTTATTGCACAGGTGGCAACCTATCACAGTACCACGCTTGAATTCACTGAGCTCCTGAGGGCGACCCATTCTTTCACAAATGTTTGTAGAAGCAGTCTGCATGCCTAGGTGCTTGATTTTATACACCTGTGGCCATTGAGGTTATTGGAACAAATGAATCCAATGATTTGTATGGGTGTCCCAATTCTTTTGGCAATATAGTGTGTGTGTAATATATATATATATATATACACATACATACACTCACCGGCCACTTTATTAGGTACACCTTGCTAGAACTGGGTTGGACCCCCTTGTGCCTTCAGAACTGCCTTAATTCTTTGTGTCATAGATTCAACAAGGTGTTAGAAACCTTCCTCAGAGATTGTGATCCATATTGACATGAATTACTGTTGCCTTTCTATCATCTTGAACTAGTCTGCCCATTTTTCTCTGACATCAACAAGGCATTTTCACCCACACAACTGCCACTCACTGGATATTTTCTCTTTTTTGGACCATTCTCTGCAAACCCTAGAGATAGTTGTGTGTGAAAATCCCAGTAGATCAGCAGGTTTTGAAATACTCACACCAGCCCGTCTGGCACCAACAACCACGTTCAAAGTCCCTTAAATCCCCTTTCTTCCACATTTTGATGCTTTGTTTCAACTTCAGCAAGTATGTATATATATATATATATATATATATATATATATATCTTTGACTGGTACAACTCCACAGCTATGCTGAGTCGAAGTAATGAACCACACAAGAAAATGAAGTCCACAAGTGTAGTAAAGGAAATGGGAAGTCTACTCAAAAAGTGTGTACAGCAGTGAGAGCATCTTAACATGTAGTTTTTTCAGTTGGTGTAGCACTAACTGCACCAAAGCATATTCACTGCTGTATCTCTGAGTAAACGTTTCTTTTCCTTCACTATGTTTATTGACTCTGTTTTCTTGTAACTTTTCTTGTAACTTTTGTTTCTGTGAAGAGTATTAGGACAAAGCCACATGGCAGCGTACTACTAGCAAAAGATGGGGAGCTCACTAAGCATAAAGTAGACAGTTTTGCATTAATTGTTAAATGAAAAAAAAACAGTTATTAATATAGGTTCTTCATGGTTTCCTCTATACATATAATTCTATAAGTTCAGACTGTGTGCTCCTTCACACATAAACCAGCTAGTTACAACCCAACTATACTTCTTCTACAATCCTTAGCTCTAATCTGTATGCAAGATTCCTTGTGAACTGTCTTGGTATGATTGTTTAGGCCTCATGTACACTGGATGTTTTTGCAGCTGCTTCTAGGGGCGTCAGGCGTATTTTATTCCCTGTCTCTAAACCCCCCAGCATGTTAGCCCATGTGTCCATGCAGACACAGGCTTTTAGCAGCATTTAGTGTTACCATCAGGGGCTTTTAAACGCATGTAAATGTGTCTAAATGCTTCTAAAACACTTGTTAACTCTAGGCGCATTTAACGTTTGAGCATTAATGCATTTCAATTGTCAGAATAAAATTAATATTCTGGCCAATTAAAGGAATTACACCCAAGCGCTTGACTCCTGTTAATGCGCCTAAATGCTCGTAAAAGTGTTCGACACTTTTACAAGCATCAGGTGTTTTTTCTGCCAAAATGCTGCTGCCAGTAGGAATTTGCAAAAAAGGCCTTATACATGACATACTGATTGTTTTTACGTCTAATCTATCTTACCTCAACATCTCCAGATTTTAACAAAAGGTCTCGGAGAGGGTTGTAGTATTCACTAGAAAACACATGATCTTCTGTGTAAACCACATTTAATCTTAACGACCCAAGATCCTCTGGTTTTCCTGATTTGCCATTGTCTCTTGGCTGAAGCAGGTACCTGGTTGATACAAAGTAAAGAAGTAAAGAAGGGATTAAAAACACCATTTCAGTCTTTGCAGATGACACCAAGCTGTGCAGTGGAATAATGTCCTTAAAGGATGTTTTCAATTTACAAGCCAACCTCAATGCACTGTGTAATTGGGCAACTATGTGGCAAATGAGGTTTAATGTAGATAAATGTAAGGTTATGCACTTGGGGGCTAAGAATATGCATGCATCATACATACTGGGGGGGTACAACTGGGGGAATCAATGGTGGAGAAGGATCTGGGAGTTCTGGTAGATCACAAGCTTAATAATGGCATGCAATGCCAAGCTGCGGTTCATAAAGCGAGCAAAATCCTCTCTTGTATTAAAAGAGGTATAGACTCCAGAGAGAGAGATATCATATTACCCCTGTACAAATCATTAGTAAGACCTCATCTGGAATATGCAGTTCAGTTTTGGGCACCAATTTACAAAAAGAACATTGGGGAACTGGAGAAAGTACAGAGAAGGGCAACCAAACTGATAAGAGGCATGGAGGAGCTCAGCTATGAGGAAGGATTAAAGGAACTGAATTTATTCTCTCTTGAGAAGAGGAGATTATGGGGGAATATGATCAACATGTATAAATACATCAGTGGTTCATAGAGTGAACTCGGTGTAGAGTTATTCATCCCGAGGTCATCACAGAGGACAAGGGGGCACTCTTTACGTCTGGAGGAAAAGAAATGTAATCTCCAAACACGAAAAGGCTTCTTCACAGTAAGAGCAGTGAAAATGTGGAATAGACTCCCTCAAGAGTTGGTGCTCAGTGGATTGCTTTAAAAAAGGCCTGGATTCTTTCCTAGATACACAGAATATAACTGGATATAACATGTATAGGTAAAGTTGATCCAGGGAATATCCGATTGCCTCTCGGGGGATCAGAAAGGGATTTTTTCCCTGCAGGAGTAAATTGGCTTATGCTTTGCTGGGTCTTTTGTCCTTCCTTTGGATCAACTATGGGTATAGGATTATAACTTTTTTTTTTTTTATGGTTGAACTGGATGGACTTTTGTCTTTTTTCAGCCAGACTAACTATGTAAGGGACTGTTTTTTTTTTAATCTGCAAGTGGTGAATAATAAGGAGCTTTTTCTAAAATAAGATAATATTTTTAGGACAATCAGTTTATTTCAACCAACACCATGCAGCATTAATAAATGCTAATTACACAGAGAAACTAAATCCCAAAATAAGGCCCTGATTCCTGAAATGACATCCTTAGACAGAATCATAGAAATTGTTAAATAGAACACAGTTCAATGCAGTTTGATATATGTCTGTCAGTAATTTATCTGCAGCATCTGTACTGAGTGACGCATACTGGCTACACCCAATAACAATTTCTGACGACAAAGAATTACATAATCTGTAAAAAGGAAACAAGTACAAATCTTCGTCACTGTCTGATCTATATTTAGGGAGCAGCTTGATCTACTGTAGTAAGATTAATTAGAGAATTACATGGTGTCCTGCTCTAAGAAAACTGGAATGTTGGCGTCTCACATTGAGGTGTCCTTTACAAATGCTATATAGTGAGAGCACAAGCAGTAACATGTGCAAGACATTTGAATCAATGAAAAATATCAAGGTATTAGAGATACTAAGCATGCCCAGGAGCTAAGGCACATAACTAGTGGAAGGTTTTATTGAAAATGATAGAACGAATCGTCACCTGGGTGTACTGTGTACTGTTTCCACTCCAACAACTCCTGACATGTCTACACACTGCTAAATGAACACTGAACCTGATTTTCTATTGTCCTTTTACCTACATCCCAAACAGAAAGTGAGGAAAAGTGCAGGTATTATATAATCCACTACTATAAAAGCTGCTGCTCCTTCAAAATATTGAAATTTTGTAAAATATTAAGCAAAAGAGAATTGGACATTTATAATTAGTCCAAAGCAGTTCCTGCATACAATGAAAAATCTGCCCAATGCAACATGGTAGAAATACAGTTATAGAGCAAAAATAAACTCGCACAATGTACATACACACATACACAGAAAAATCAAAGCTTACTTCCAGTGTCATTAGAAATCCTTTCACTCCCATGCACATGCAAAAAAAAACAAATAGCAAAGAACAGTGTGCTCATGAAATATGTCTTTGTTTAGTGAAAATACTTATTAAAAAGGTACTGAGAAGAATAAATGAATACATTTCTTATAGAAGCCACAATCAGGTTAAAACAGGCACGATCGGGTTCATAAATCCTTTACACGTACCTTCAAATGCTGACTACAGCTAACATTGGATAATATTGTGAAGATATGTGTGAAAGATTTATGAATCTGGCCTGATCGTGCCTGTTTCAGCTGATTGTGGATTGCATACACGATTTATTCCTTTCTTCTTGTACCTTTTTTACAAGTATTTCCAGTAAATAAAGGCATATTTCACCAGGACAAGGCAGTTTGTCCATTTTTTAGTTTATTATGTATAACACACCTCCTTGTATGTGTTTTGAGCTACCTATTCTCAGATAACTGTTCTATTGTGGTCTTTTGTGTGAAGACCCTGACAGTTGCTGCTGGCACCATGGAAATCAGTTTTGAACCCTGTGCACATGCTCTCTTGCCAGATAATCAAATTTCAACCAGTCTTCCCATAGGTTTATATGTGCATATAATGTATTTTATGGGTCATATATTCAAGTAAAAGTCACCCTTCTGTAGAGATTAAAATGTCCTGAGACTTCTGCTGGGTGCTGCCATCTTGGATGTGATTTCAGCAGACTCAGAGTTGTCACTTAAAAGTGAAACTAAAGGCAGAGATACTCACCTTTCCATTGGTCCCTCCTGCACCGGCATCTTCTCCTGTATGCCGTTTTCAGGCCTCTTCATTGGCTGGCATGGAACAACGTCCCTGTTGCACATGCGCAGCAGCTAGTCATCTCGGCACACAAGATCAAGCTGACCACTGTAAGCTGAGCTGCGCATGCACAGCTTGGACTTACATTCCAGGGATCGCTGTGATCAGGCAGGGATGTGTAGTTTATTACAGAAAAGACACTGGGGGAGATTTACTAAAACTGTTGCACACAGAATATGGTGTAGCCTTGCATAGTAACCAATCAGCTTCTAGGTGTTATTGGCAAAGCTTAATTAAATAAGCTGAAGTTAGAAGCTGATTGGTTACCATTAACAACTGCACCAGATTCTGTGTACACCAGCTTTAGTAAATCTCCCCAATTGTGCAACAAAAACCTTGCCTGCTTGCAGTGACTATTTCAACACTCCCATAAGAAGAATGAAGTACAAGAAGGGACAGGGCTGTGCTAGAGAATAGACTCTCTAGTTTAAAATGTATAATAAAGATTGCAAGTAAGAAATAAAATGTTTTATATTTCTATGCTTTTATCTAAATATAAAAAAAACTTTAATAAGACAATAAGAAGGATACTATTAGTAGCCATCCTTTTAATATTACTAGTTACCTGCTGTTTATCCAAAGGCTTCAATATTTCCTGAGTCACTCAACACATATGCAGATTAAACATTCTGACTCGCCTCCTCCTTTCCGCATTCTTGTTCCAACTGGATGACTCAGAAAGCATTGATGGCAGAGACAGCCAGGCACCTTGGCATTTTCAGAAAGAGTTCAACAATGACAGCCTTCATCTTGACTCATAACAGGCTTTGTACAAATTTTCTTCAGCACACATTATACAAAATGAAGGATGATCCAGGTCTTCATGCAGTAAAATACATACATGTAAATACAGGGGTTCGACAAAATTATGGAAATACCAGGTAAAAGAACAAAATTGTTACCTAATATGGTGTGGGACCGCCTTTGGCATCCAAGACGGCCTGAGGAATTGACAAATACAAGTCTTGGATGGTGGATAATAGAATCTGATACCACTCTTCATTCAAAAATCATTCCAGTTCTCACAGAGATGCTGAAGACGGAAAATAAGCCTGAACCTTGTTCTCCAAAACTGACCATAGTGGCTCTATGATATTGAGGTCCACCGACTGTGGCGCTCAGAGAAGGTGCAAGACTTTCTCTGCATGTTCGTCAAAGCAGGATTTGACAACACCAGCTGTGTGAATCGGAGTATTATTGTCTTGGTAAATTACACTGTCTTCGGGAAACAATGTCTGCACTATGGGGTGCACATGGTTGAACAAAATTTGTACACAGTCACTGGCAGTGACTACCTTTCAAAGTAATTGCAGGGCCTTCAGAATACCAAGATAAGGCTGCCCAAACCATGATTGTGCCACCATACCGTTGGCACAGGACAGTCCTGGTCATAAGCTTGGGATCGTGTTTGCTACACGTAATTACCTCCAGTGGTTGGGGACAGTGAGATCCTGAATTCATCAGACCATATTGCAGTCTTCCATTTATTAACAGTCCACAATTTATGGATGTTGCACCACTCTCCCCTCTTCTGAGCGTTAATATTGGTTTCTAGTGGTTTGACAATAGCAGCTAGCCCATGAATGTTATGCTTATGGAGTTCTCTCCTCACAGTTTTTGTGGACATGGGCTTTGGGAGACTGAGATTGACCTCTATAGTCACTTTTGCAGCAGTTGCTTTCTTCAGCACAATGTCCTTTTGTCTCTTTTGGTCAGTTGACCATGTTGACCGCGCTTATGCTTATCAGACGACGGAAACTGTATATGCCATCATAGACATTGACACTGAATCTCATCAACTTCAGTCACAGAGGCACCAGCTAAGTGGGCACCAACAATTTTCCCTTTTTGAAATTCAGTAAGCTCTGACCTGACTCTGTATTACTAGCAGTGCATGCAGTGAATGATGAAAGTGAGGCTTCCCACCTGTTAGCTAGGTATCCCATCACACAGTGGAAGCACAAGAATGTTACATCACTTTTAACGTGAAACATGTTGTCACTTTCACAAATCATGAGGTGTTTCCATATTTTTGTCCATCCCCTGTATATCCTAAGGGCTCGTTCAGACAGGCGCTTACACTCACATTCGTGTATGGATACCTTGTTTGTATGGCTTCAGCCACCAGGTGCTGCATGAAGATAGCCCATGCATGTCTTTTGAGATGCACTGACTGCACGGATACAGCTGCTTGTCCCAATCTGACAGCCATGCCAATCTGGGTGAGTTGCTGTCAGACTGGGACAAGCGGCTAGCTGGGCAAATCGGGCTAAAGACCTTGCTTTGGTCTTGATGACATCAGGACCCTAGACTCCTGAAGAGTTGGGAAATGAACCTGCAGACACTGGCCTAGCTGTGGGAAGGAGTAGAGGATCAGGTAAGTAAAATGTCTTGTTTTGTTCCCCTACAACAAAACAAACAACCTTAACCCTTGCAGTGCAGGCACAGTTTCACTGTAAGGGATAATTTTTTTTATTTGCCTGGAGTTAGGCATTAAACGTATATAGAAAAGACAAAACAGAAAAGTTTGACTTATGTTAATTTAAAAAGAATTCTGAGATACAAACATCACACAATAGATATAATTATATACCATGCATCATAGCAGCTGGACTGTCGTAAGACCTTTAATGGAATTTTAAGCTCTCCAAGAAATTCATCTCCAAACTTTAGGTTACTCGCATTCCATAGGTCAACTCTGCAAATGATAGATTACAAAAAACTTCTTAATAGCTGATATTGACAAATTTTATTTTCAGACAGGGGAACATACATATATAAAATTGTAGCTACGCACATGAACCAATCAGATTGCCTCTGTCCTCAGTTTCTATTAGCCAGAATAAGGGCCTGTGTCTAGGCTTTAGGCTTTGTCGGTAAGCTTGCTTTTGATATCTGTTTGCAACGCTTTTAAGACCCCTGACCTATCTAAATACATAAATGGTGATATAATAAATTCTCATAAATCTTCAAAGATCACAGCAAAAACTTTAAAGTGGGTTTTTTGCAGGTAAGCACCAGCTGTATTCTACATAAGGCGGCGAGCAGGCTGCAGCCATAGAAAGTACTAGGGAAAGCTAAGAATTTGGTGGTTTTTGCTGCGAACTTTGAAGATGAATGTCTTCAAAATGTCTAAAGCTACAGAGGTAAATGTTTTTAAGGTGTTTGGAATTTGTGAAATACTTCAGCGTGCATGATCTGGGGACAGGTTCACTTTAAAGTTGAGTAGCAGAGACCTAAGCTCTCCAAAGTCTCCAAAGAGGAAAAGATTTAAAAATCACCCAGAGATATGACCCATATATTCGCCATTAGAGAAAGAAGACAAACCAAATAACAGTTTTCAGAACTGTTAAAAAATAAATAAATAAATAAATTAATTAATTAATTAATTAATTAATTAATTAATTAAAAAACCTGACTTTAATACAGAGCACACATAAATGAACAGTTGTTGATAATAGGAAAATCAGAGCCTATACCATGACATAAAAAATACTTCAAGCACAAACTTGAAAGCACAGATGGCTGGCAAAGTTCCAAACTGACATCACCTCTTATAGATTATGCCAGCTGCGTATAGTCAGTCAGTATATAACTCTGTTCCAGGGTTTTTGAATAAACCTTTAGTTTCTTTATGACAATATGCACATTTGTGAAAAAAAAATCAAGCCATATGTTGCATAGATTGTTGATGACAGACAGACATTTATTATGACTAAAAATAACTGGTATATGTTGTGAGATACACAGTGTTTCTTTAGGACACATTTTCAACTATTCCGTGAAATGTAACAAAGCTACCTTGCACCCAATAAATGTTCTAGTATCATTTTATTGCAGTGACGCCTAAAACAAAACTTTTTTTCATTTTGGATAGAGTAAGGGAGGGTAATGACCCCTGCCAGTTTATTTTTTGCCATTTGTGTCCCATTGGGGAGATTTCCCTTCACTTCCTAATTCATAGCCAAAACAGGAAGTGAGAGGAAATCCCTGCAAACTAAGGGAATTCTATTGGACTTCCAGGTAATCAAAACTTGTTTCTCTGTTGGAAGATCTCCCCTCTATTACTTTTCTGAGGACAACCCAAATTTTGGGATTTTCTTTTACTTTCAGCGATAATGGTAAACAGGACAAATAGAGAGAGTGAATCTCCATAATGGGGGCACAAACAGCAAAAAAAAGTAACAGGTGTTCTTTTTTTTTAATTATTATATTTTTTTCTTTCTTTTTTTTTTTCAATACATTATCCCTACTGCCTCTTCTCCCATCCTCCTCCCGCATCACCCTCTCTTCTCCTCCTCTTCTCCTTCAGTTCCTCTATGTTACATGTATTCGCACTCTCTCTTCTCTTCTTATTCGTCTTTACCTCTTCCCTTCGCTACCACGTCTCCCGGGTTACCTTTCCCTCTATTTTACACTCCCATCAGTTCTACATATCTTTTTGAGGTTTTAAATTCACACCATCCTCTCAAAGTTCTTGAAATTTTTCCATTTTAACCTCTTCACTGTGACATAATTCCTCCATCCTATAAATATACTCTTCCCTAATATAACCAATCCTTTACTCTTGTCTCCTGGGCCCACCAAAATTTGGGATCAATCCCTTTCCCACATTTAAAAAATAAAAAGTCATCGTATTCTTATACTGTTTCACTGTTAACTCAGTATTATGAAATAAACAAGCCCATAGGTCTTTTGAGACTTTAATTCCCAAATCTCTTGTATTTGTTGTACTATATCCTGCCAAATCTCCTGTATCCTAGGGCCTTCCCACCATAAGTGTGCTATAGTTCCATTTATCCCACATTCTCTCCAACAAAGTGGTGAGTAATCTGGTTGTTGTTCATGTGCCACACTATGTAATGTTGCCAAACATTTATAATTATTTTCTACAATTTTCATATCCATCGCCCCATGTGCTAAATTAAATATTTTCCTTTTTTGTTATTCATTTAGTTGTGTTCCAAGAAATCTCCCATTTCTCCAAAAACAACAGAGAGATAGGTCCGGATATTTTAGTAAATATTTTATATATACGAGAATTACTGTATTTCTGTGTAGTACCCGAACTCAGCATCTGTTCAAATGGATGCAGGTCCTTTACTGTTTGTGGGAGTGCCATTACAAGGTGTCTTAATTGAAAATATTGCCACTCATCTAATACATGAAATAAATCCTTTTTGTGTTTCAATTCTTGAAAAAAGAATATTTCCCTCTCCTTCATAATATGCTTTAACTCTGCATTTCCATCTTTTATCCATTTTCCTGATAAATCTTCTTTCCCAGGTGCAAAAAAACTTGCTCCTAATGGTGCCTCACTTAGTGTGCTTTCTATTTTACCCAACTTTTCCTTCATGCATTATATACCCAATCTACTACTTCTGATAATATTACAACTAAAGTGTGTTCTAATCTATCTCCACATTATCCAAAACTAAAAAAAAAAGTTTTGCCTTTAGTTGTACTGTAAGCAAAGGATTGTATTTTTATCATTTCTAGGTAATCAACATGCATTTCTGGTAAAGGGAGGGCAGGTACTGTCCAGTCACCCGGATTCTTACAATTAAACTAATGGACTATATTTTCAGAAAGTTAGTGTCCAATTGCTTTGAGGTGTGTCGGTCTATTTTGGCAATAGATAAACCTTGAAGCACAGAAGGTAGTACTGAAGTGAAAGTGAGGCATCTGGGATAGTAAGCATATAAGTATAGTAAGTCACAACGGCAAGTGTCCCGCCCGGCCGTCAATCTGCTATAGGCCAGGCGGGACACTTGCCGTTGTGACTGGGCATCAGCGGCGCAATCTGTCACTGGCTGTGTCCACGGGACACAGCCGATGACATATCACTACACCGGCCCATTGCCAGTGTCATGTGACTGCTGTGACATTTCACAGCAGATCTCATATCAATTGTATACAATGGATGGCTTCCTGTCATGCCATCCATTGTATACAATTATGTTGTTAGCTGTGACTGGTCACATGATACAAACAGGGCCAATCACAGCCTATCTGTATCATGTGATCAGCTTTGCCAAATCACAGCTAATCACAACAAAAGAATCAGTTTAATTCAGTAACAATGATTTCAAATATCAATGAAATACATTGGTATTAGCAATCATAATGTGTTAAAAAAAATCCTGATCACTTGCCCAGAGTAGTTCAATGTTACTATGGTAACATTGTATTGCTTTGATCACAGTGTGCTGAAAAATAAAATAGTAAAAAAAAGAAATACATTTAATGAAAAATAAAAAAAAATTAAAAACATTTGAAAAAAAAAATACAAATTAAATTATTATTATTATTATTTTCACCAAAGAAATGTAGCAGAATACATTTTGACCTAAATTTATGAAGAAATGTTATTTATTTGCAAACTTTTATAACAAAGAAAAGTGTGGGTTTTTTTCAAGTTTCAGGTGTTTTTTGTTTTATTTAGCAAAAAATAAAAAACTCAGTGGTGATTAAATACCAGCAAAAGAAAGCTCTATTTGTTTGAAAAAAAATGATAAAAATGTCATATGTGTACAGTGTTGCATGACTGCGCAATTGTCATTCAAAGTGCAACAGCGCTGAAAGCTGAAAATTGGCCTGGGCAGGAAGGGGGTAAAAGTGCCCGGTATTGAAGTGGTTAAGCAATACCTACTGCTCTAATAGATATAACAGGTGATAATATATTATATACAAAATTTTAACCCAAGTTAATTTTAAATACTCAGGCATCAAAACGAAAGATGATAATCATTTGTCAGTCAAACAAAAAGTTTTCTCATTACTTTGTAAGAATCTTCCACTGCTATAAGAATTCCTACTGTGCTTCTTTTCCTTATACAATACTAAGACTGATCAACTGGTAATAGGTATACCTTTCCATTCTCAGTTATTTAAATACTGATAAATAGGAAAAATGCAAAAAAACTTGTGCTATAGATTAAAAAATAGTAGCCCTAGATAGTTAGCTCCAAGGAGCAGGGCCCTCCTTTCCCTCTTGTATTGTTACTGTATTGTCTCCCGTTATATTGTGAAGCGCTGAGCAAACTGTTGGCGCTATATAAACCCTGTATAATAATAATAGTAGTCAATACTGGTGCTGCTGTTTAAGTGTTAACCACTAACAAGTGAAAAATAAATTATAACAGCGCTTAACAGTGAACAGAAATAAATTATAAATTGTCCATTAACATCCTATATATAGTGCAGTTTTTCCACTTCTATATTGAATCCTTCTTAATAAAGTGCTACGTGCTCTACAAACCATAAAGTGACTTTGTGCTAAAAACACACAACGTAATCTGTGCCCCCTCCTTTGACCACACACACCAAATAAGGTGGACTCCCTGCTGTTAGCATAAGAGTCCAGTGAGCTCCTTCTGGTGAGGAATGCTTCCTTTGTTCCACTCTATGTTGTTCTCCACTGTCCTTTAGTTCCATGGACCGGATGTGGCATCACCGAAAACTGGAAGCTCCTTCCATTACGTTTCACCCCTCTCTGAAGATGTCCAGTGGGAGGGGCAAAATGCGTTAGAGAGAGCTTCCAGTTTCTGGTGATATCACATCCGGTCCGTGGAAGGCATGTATACCAGTGGTGTTCCTGGACTATGATTCAGCTGCCTTACCAGGTTTACCTTTTGTTCAAAGCAGATTTTTGATTTTATAGATTTTTTTTTAAACACAGTTTGAAAGCACACAGCAGCAGCAATTAGGTGTGCTTGCAAACAGACCTCATATGATCACCATGATTGGCTGTCAAGATGATCACATGACCAGGAATGGCACTAATTGGTTCCTGGTTAACAAAGGCTGCTAGTTTCAGCCTGGTTTCAGCTTAGTCTACAGATTGTGGGTGTTTGGGCTCGGCCCTAAGGCATAAAAGAATAAAGATTTAACCACTAGCCTACAGGGCACTTATACCCCCTTCCTGCCCAGGCCAATTTCCAGCTTTCAGCGCTGTTGCACTTTGAATGGCAATTGCGCGGTCATGCAACATTGTACCCATATGACATTTTTATCATTTTTTTGTGACAGAGCTTCATTTTGGTGGTAATCACCTCTGGGTTTTTTATTTTTTCTTAAACAAACCAAAAACAACTGAACATTTTGAAAAAAAAAGTTTTTTTCTTAGTTTTTGTTATAAAATTTTGTAATTTTTCTCCTTCACTGATGTGCGCTAATGAGGCTGCAGTGATGGGCACTAATAGGCTGCAGTGATGGGCACTGATGAGGAGGCACTAGTAGGTGCCACTGATGGGCATTGGCAGGCATCACTGATGGGCACTGAAAGGCAGCATTCATACAGTATGCGGCACTGATAGGAGGCACTGACTGGCAATGATAGGCGGCACTGACTGGCACTGTTAGGTGGCACTGACTGGCACTGATAGGCGGTACTGATGCACACTGATAGGTGGCACTGACTGGCACTGATAGGCGGCACTGACTGGCACTGATAGGCGGCACTGATTGGCAGATAGGTGGCACTGACTGGCATTGATAGGTGGCACTGACTGGCAGCACTGATAGGTGGCACTGACTGGCACTGATAGGCGACACTGATTGGCAGCACTGATAGGTGGCACTGACTGGCATTGATAGGTGGCACTGACTGGCACTGTTGTGTGACACTGAAAGGCAGCTCAGATGTGCACTGATATGTGGCATTGATGTGGCACTGATGGACAATGAAATGTGGCACTGATGGGCACTGGCAGGTGGCATGGATGAGCACTGAGAGCTGGCACTGATGTACACTGACAGGTGGCGCTGCTGGGGCTACACAGATCATCAGGGCACACTGATCATCAGTGCTCTGATGATCTGTGTACATGTCCTCTCCGAGGAATGCTGATTACCGGCTCTCCTCTCCTCACAAGTTGTCAGCGTGACAGCTCGTGGTGAGAGAAATGCAGATGACCGGCATTTCCCTGTTTACATGTGATCAGCTGTGAGTGGACACAGCTGATCACATGACCGAGCCGACATCTTCGGCTCTTTTCGTGGATCGGTGATCCGCTGTGTCCGAGGGACACAGCGCACCACCGATCGCCGCGCTGCACACTCTGGGACCCGCGCATGCGCGGTTAGAATGGGAGGACGTCATATGAGAATGAGAGAACCGCCTTGCGTCCGTCATTGGACTATATGGCGGGCGGGAGGCGGTTAAACTAGCCCCATCACACTCTGTTACATATTCAATAAAGAATCGTTAAATCATTTTTAGGACAGTGAATCCATCCCTACAAGCCAGAAAACTATATGGCGTGTGTTTGTTCCCTACCTCATCTCCATTTTGTCTACGTCATCTTCTTCTATTTCAAAATGAGATTTCTTATTGTAACTACTTGGCTTGGTCACCTGTTAAAAAAAAAAACAAAAAACAAAAATCGTCTAATAACTGTACATTTAGAGATAATTAATCACTCTGATCACTGAACTTTTTAAGGCAAATTATAAGTGGAAGCAAAATAAACATTTACTGTACAAAACACCAATATTCTTTGTATTAACTTAATTGTTACTGAAATGTTATAACCCAAAGCAACCGTCCATTCACTCTAACCAGGAAGGTTCAAGCCCAAGGTGTTGGTAACACAAGTTTGTTGTCTTTAGATATTTTTGTCCCACGCTCCACCTCCTCCTCAAACACATAAGCCAGTGAGTCAGAAAAGCAAACACAAATTAGGTGACAGAAAGATGCTGATCTGCAAGAGTAGGCACATTCTACACATTTTATCAATTAACAATAAAAAAATACTCCAACTACCACAGCATAATATTACAATACAACCATTATTCCCATTTGATGTGGCTAAAATGTTCTGTAACAAAAATTTTTTTTTAATGTTAAAAATTGCTGTGAATTGAAGCCACTTTGTAAAAGAGGTTACACTATGGCACATAATGTGATAATTAAAAATAAAATAACAAAAAAAAACTGCAATGACTTGCTCCTGGAAGCCTAAACTCGATCAGATATACTGTAGCAGATATGTTTCTGTTAGCGGGATACTGTGAAGGACACTTTTACAGATCCAAGGATTCCTTACTGCCTTTAGTTCTGTGCTAAGTTGCCATTAGTCATCATAATGAATGGACAGGGCACTGGGAATTAGCTATAGGATCAGAGAGCTACCAGGGTGTCAGATAATAATCAGACTGTCATCACAGTGTAAGGGGTCAGAGAGGTATCATGGTGTTAAGTGTTAGACAATTATCAGTACTGTGCATCAAATAGCTGTCAAGGTGTCAAATGGTCATAGAGCTATCATGGTATCAAGGGTCAGAGAGTTATCATGGTGTTAGAGTACTATCAGTGTACAGTGGGTCAGATAGCTATCAAGGTGTCAAATAGTCCGGGGAGCTATCATGGTATCAGGGCTGTCAGAGAGCTATAATTATATCAGGGGTCAAACAGCTTTCATGATATCAGGGATCAAAAAGCTATCATGGTATCTGGGGTGAGAGAGCGATAATGGTGTCAGAGTCTGAAAACTGTTAGGGTGTTGGGGGGCAGAGAGTCATCAGGGTGATACAATATTGTATTCGAAAATTATGGCAACGTTTTTATTAAAAACTGCACAGCAGATCAGAGCACATGTTATCACAATGACCACATTTCTACATAAAGCATTTTCTTATTAACAAATGGACCATTTTCAGGCATGGAAGAAAATGGGCATCTCATCCAATTCAATCAACTAAGTTCAAAGGTAGTCAAGTTAAAAGGTAGTCTTCAAAGGTAAACAGTTGTATTCCAACTGCCCACTAGGTGGGCACTTAGCAGTAGCATCTTACAAGGATGTAGTGAGTGAAGTATTAGTATAAAAAAATAACATCTTTAAAAAAAGTAGAAGAAATCCAAAAACCAGACATTCAATTAATTAGTTTCAAGACATTCGTAATTATCCATCCTCAGCCACACTGCAACAAAATAAATGAAAAAAGCTTCCGTATACTTGAGGCCTCACGCACAATAGGCATTTGTAAAAGCCCCTCTGAACACCAGAACGTCTTGCAGAAAATGCTGCTTAAAAACACGCTAAAAGTCTTGTATTCCACATGCATTTAAGCACATCTAGCATTTGAGCATCAATGCATTCTATTGACCTGAATATTAATTTTCATCTGGCCATTGAAATGCATTAACGCTCAAACGCTACATGCAGAATGTGTTCTGCGGTTTTCCTGCTCTTCAGTTCATCTCCTGAATGCACCTTTTGTGTGTGTTTTTCTGCCTGTAAACACTCCTTTTTTAATATGCCTCTAAACGCTTATGTGTGCAAGGACACATCGGCTCACATAGCGGTGCTTTTACAAGCTAAAACAAAATGCCCAACGCTTGTATAAGCTGCATTTTTTCAGCTCTGTGTACGAGGAAGAAGGATGTTACAAGAAAATAAAAAGGTCAATTTCAATGCAGGATTGTCTACTGCAGGTGAGACAAAAAGAAAACTACCTCAGTGGCTGCTTATGGCTGTTGGACAGATCTTAGCAATACAGAACTTCACAAAAAACAAAAAAGACAGTTGGCAATTCACATGTGTAAACTTTCCAAACATTTGAGGATATACGATTTCATTTCATCACCACGCCCATATAAATACCAACCTCAAAATAAAACACTTCATCAAACTGTGGGTTGTTAGTCTTCTTCTTGACTTTAGTTTTCTTTGACTCAGTCCTAAAATGAAAAGTAAAACACAGGGAAAAAGAGACAGCTGTCATATTATGCTGATACATTGTTAAAGCTATAGCAGCAATAACATCTCTGCAACAATAAGAAGTGAAGTATAGAGAGGTTAGTAAAATGCAATGTATAAAAAGACATTATAATCCATATATGGATAAACAAAACACAACATATTAGAATGGTTGTGCAAAACACTTCTCATTTCCTGAGCTTTTTTAATTTGTGAACCAAAATGCTCCCTATACCGACCCTTGGAAAGTAATGAAAAGGTGTACAGCTGTGGGGTATGGAATGAACTATCATGGTAGCAGGGTACTTTGTAGGCTTACCTGGAAGATTATCTTCCTTAAAATGGAAGCAAATCCCAATACAGCCCAACAAAGGTTCTATTGGCTTGATACTAGCCAAGAAAGAAGATCCCTTCTACCAGCAGAGAACGCAACCAAGGGATTGGACAGCTCTGCCTAGTTCACTGTTAAACTGGCCATAGAGGAGTAGAAAATCATTCGGAAATGTGTTTGCATTTGATAAAGATCTGCCGAATGAGTGTGTGATAATGCCATCATTGATACAAATTCACCCCCCCCCCCACACACACACACACACACTTACACACTTGTTGACATATTGTTGTTTGTGCACAACACAGATTTTTTTTGTCGATCAATTACATTATAAACGCTTGAGCTCACGCACACTACAGTTTATTGTGTTATTCTCAATCGATTCCGCTATTCACATTTCGAAAATCATTCGCTCATACAGTACTAATAAATTCCAGCACGAATGTTAGTTTTTTGTCATAAATCTTTGCATTTCGAGAATCGATATGAGCCCACTAACATTTAAAAAGTCGAATGATCAGGTGTTTTGAATGAAATTTTGATTCGATTTTCTACTCATCTATAGCCAGATTTAATTTGCACACAGGCAAGACCTTATACGCATCCTGGAGGAGAGAAAGAATTGTACAGCGATTTCACTTATCTAAATTGCAAGATACTCTACATGCCATTGTTTATATTTTCCAGGGGACCATAAAAATAGTTAGAAATTCTGAAAAGTTTACATCCAGGAGATAGGGGAAAAAGCCGTAGAAGTCATCTGCATTTCAACAAAACAAATGTATTATTCTGATAGCTAACCAATGCAGAAAAGTTTGGAGTTATATACACAATAAAATGCTGTGGTGACATTTTAGTAGGTATGGATTACAATACATTATATAATACTTGAATGCTTACATAGCATTACAATATACAGTAATTAGCAATGACACTGTGATGCTTGGGTGATGACTGGTCCATATAGAATGATCCTATTCCAAACTTGGTGCTTTTTATGGCGCATTGAGATTTTCCTAACTTGATGCAAGTAGTAAAGTGTTAAATGTGTGCCACTTAGTTTCATCAGGCAAGTCATATGAAAACAGCATTGGGTCCTAGACCTAGAGAGGACAAAAGCAGTGGACTCACAATGCTACATTATGGGGTTTATTTACTAAAGCTGGAGAGTCCAAAATCAGACTCCCTTCTGCATAGAAACCAATCAGCTTCCAGGTTTCATTGCCAAAGCTTCATTGAACAAGCTGAGGTTAGAAGCTGATTGGTTTCTATGCAGAAGGGAGTCTGATTTTGGACTCTCCAGCTTTAGTAAATAAACCCCTATATGTCAGGAGAAGTTGGCATTTCTTGAATTAAGCACAAATGCCATTTTCCCCTGGCATATCACAGCAGTAGACATCCATGTCACTGTGCAATATGTTCCCACTAACGCAAGGTAGGAATACCAGTGAAAAATGTTCCAGCATTCTAAAAGTTTATGAATACAAAAAGCCTGACAAAAAAGACTAATACAATGCAGGGAAAACCCAAATAGAATGAAATAGGCAATTGTAAGGGCTATTTACAGTTTGAAACAGTATTATAAATGTGAAACCAATCAGATTGACATGATTGACACAGATACCTATTAAAATACTATGTTGGTACAGTATGTGCAGTATTATGTTGCACACTTACCTTGTTGGACCCAGTAATGTTACAGTAGCATAAGGATCACATTGGCCATTGACAATGGGGAGGCCACGGCACTCTAAAACTCTGTAGAATAAGCATAAAAGTTTATAAACATGTATCATATCAAATACAAACAGTTAAAAAAAAATCAAAATATAGGCATACTACTTTTATCTTATTAGTATCATCTTATTAAAAAAAATTCAATCTTTTGTATACCAGTAATAATAATAAATACTTAGGTAGATGTGGGCGGTCCCCCTACTAAGTCTTGCTTAAATCTTATATAATAAATAAAAACTTCCCCATATACAGTACATATTCATTATATGCATAATTGTTTGTTGAACACTACTACTGCCCAATGATTCATTATATAGACAGATAGTATTAATAGCACTGTGCAAGTGTGTTTTTTAACTCCAGTCCACCCACCAAGCCATACTTTGAGGATTATCCTCCACGGAAGCAGCTAAACCATGGACGCCCCCAAAAAATAAGGAGAATCTGGAAATCGTGATCTACAGGAGTGCTTGTAGACAGGAGCTGAGAAAATCTGCTCTGTATGCATCTTGACTGCTGCACGTCACATCCACATAGGTTTTCAAATGTACATTACTACCATCAAAATATTATACACAGGTGCCATTTATTGGCTACAGGGTTGCGTTTTGGGTATTGTATTGTGTTTGATTTGCTTTATTAGAAAACTTTTTTTGTTAGAAAATTCTGTTTATTGAATTTCACAATGAAAAGACAAAACATACATACATTGTACAAAACAACAAGTATAACCATCTGGCTATGTTGGCACAGCCAGAACTACTAACCTTCCCCCCTCCCCCCAACCCTAATGCAATACCTTCCTTCATAGACATTCAGAACAATGCAATCCCTGAATAGAAGGATACCGACTATATCAAAGGTGTAATGGTACCTTTCACTGTACCATCAGATCAGTAGTCAGGACACTGTCTAAAGGGAAATAACTTCATGTAGAATCCGAAGGGAGGAGAGCACCCTTATTTTAACAGGGGAAGCCTACATTTGACTCTTACAACTGCTAAGTCATTCTCATGTGAGAGTGGGAGGCTGCATATATCCAGCTGTGCCAGACCTTCTCGAACTTTTTAGAATAGCCTCTATTCAAATATGTAGCTTTTTAGAAAGGCAATGCCTTATTAATCAGGGTCTTCCAGAATTGCAGCGAAGGGGCCTCTACCTTCTTCCAGTTGAGCAGAAGAGCATTATGAGCATAAAAGGGGTTACTGTGAGAAGAGTTTTCTGTGCCCGTAAAGGTGCCAACTCCGCCACCAACCCAAGGAGGCAGACCTAGATGGACTTGCTTTGTAAAGCTGTAATGTCAACCAAGGTTCCTACTACCCCACATCAGTAATCCTGGATCAAATGGACAGTGCCAGAATATATGTTCAAGATCAGCAGGGGATGTCTGAATTATAAATATGGGTCAAATTGGCTGGCGTTTAATAAATGCAATGTAATATTTTAAATTGAATAAGGCAATCTTAAACAGAATTTTTATTTTTAGCTTTAGAGCAAAATAGTTAAGATAACGTTGAATTGCAGGTACTTCATCTCACCTTATCATGCTGTCTCAGCATGTTTGGGAAAATATTTTCTTTGGCAATATGGCACATACAGGAGTAATACTGTAAGTACTCATTTGAAGACAAACTATTTCTCTTTCTCTTCTTTTCAAAACATTGACAGCCAAATTTGTAACTTCCAAGTGACTGCTCTATAGATAATATGAACCAGAGGATGCCTAGTGTACTGCAAGTTAGGAGCTAGGAAAACACTAAGCTGGTGTCTGCCCGGACACAGATAAATTGGTTTGCAAATGATATTATCAGTGAACATGCTACTTTAGTGAATCTAATTGAAAGTTTTGAGACCAGTATTGTGGAAATTAGATAACCAAACCACAAAGGGCTTTTGCTGATGCACAAATATGAGTAAAGTATCACAAAAACATTCATATCTAGATCTGCACCGCTCTTTTTTACAAAAGGACAGATACACTCCTCAGCACATCTGACATGTCCAACGTTCCAAACTCAATGTACCATGAAACCCTATGCCCTTCCCACAAGGTCCCACCTCTTTTTATCATATAACACAGAGGAACCCATGGTGATAGCTATCCTGCCACAACACACATGGTCTAAGTAAATAATATCTTGGAGGACAGAGCCGAATACAATCATGGTGGTTAGATCTGGGCAAAAGAATGGGTCTCAATCTCCAAACAATTGCAACTGCCTCTGTTTTGTTGCTTTTAACATGAACCTCTGCCTTTTGAGCCTTTTTAAACCTTTAACATTAAAACTTGTGTTTTACCTAAAACCAGATACCACATTATTTAATAGTAGAAAACCATCTTTTGTAAAGCCCCTTTTTGAACGGGTTTTACTTTGCTAGGAGCTTGACGTCACTAATTTCTGGGCCATCCTTTCCTCTCTTAAAAATGACAGAACTTCTACTTAGCAATGAAGCAATCTCACTGGACAGAGAGTACAAAGAAATCAAGCCCCTAAGTTGGCCATGTACGGTTAAGCCAGCCATAGATGGAATGAAACTTGGCCGATTCAGCAGGGACCAGCCAAGACTCGATCCAACTCTGGGTAAGCTGGTTGTACTGAAGTCCACCCAGGTGAGGGATTTTAAACTAATAGGGTTTTGTCTTCTATTAAACAAGACTTCTACTTTCAAAAGTTTAAAATGATTATCAAATGTCAATGTTCTGTTTGACACTGACATATCAAATCATACATTTCAAACAAGCACCCTTTTGGTAGTCTTTTGCCTCACTCAGTAATAGTGCCTGAGGATTACAAACTTGCTAGATTACTTATAAACAGGTTGAGCATGATATGGTCCACACAATAAATCATGTAAAGATTCATGCTCAACCACTTAATTTTCGGTATCCAAAGGCTTCCAAATTGTGGCAATATGAAAAATGAAATCCCATTAGGATAATGCATATCCATGTAAAAAATACAAAAAAGTCTTAAATGGAGATTATTCAAGACATATGGTGATCACATGCAAGATTTGGCTATTAACAGTGGGAAAAGCGCCTGAGAAAATTTCCCGTCATGCTTCAGAAGACTGACTTGAGAATTATATAGCAGGATAGGAATGAACAAAGGATTCTGTGACTGGAAGAAAAATAAAGATGCCATCTTGTGACCACACAAAGCACTTTCCTTACAATAGGAAGTTTCTTCTTTTTTGTGCTAAGCTTTGAAGTAAAACAAAAATTTGTATCCTGATCTGTGAACTTTGTATCACTTTTGCTGATCACGCACAGTCAATTAAATACATTTCCAAGTATATTTTTTAGAGGTATGGGATAAAAATGGCAAAATTATTCAGACTTGTGTCCCACATTGTAGAATTCTGGTACACCCTTCATGAGCAATAGGGCTCCACTGGTAAACTCACTACAACAAGTATTTACCTCCTCAGAAAGTAACATATGTACATGACATCAAAGCCCAACAGCAGTCTGTAATTTTATAACTAGTTAATCCATAGGTCATGTAGATAACAAAATGTTTTGTGCTATATTTACCTTAGCCTTCATATTGATCACCCTACAATGTCTTGTTCTTCCTGGTATCTTTGCCTTATTTCCAAGTGCCTGGCGTCATTCAACTACTTCCTCCTTCTCCTGATGTCAAGGACCCATATCCTTGAGCAGGACAAGGGGCATAAACAAATTAAAAAAGATGCCACCTTTTCCATGCCCACATGATGAATTCAGTGAGCTCTACAATACACATATCATCACTAAGTCTCACGAGTGCATTATTCAACTTGTTTCACAGTCCAGAGCTGTGAAACAGACTGTGAGAAGAGTCACATCATGTCACTTCTACTTCAGGCCCAATTTTAAATCTGAACCAAAGGCAAATATAAAATACACAAATGAATGCAGCTTCGTATTCATTAATGCATCACCAATTGTAATTTGTTTCAGTGCAAGCAGTGTAAGCACCTGAATTTGACTTGATACAGCAGAACTCAGAATGGGGGAAAAAGAAGCAGCAAACCAATCAGCTGTGCTACAGTGCAAGGGACATGCTCATAGGAGGATAGGCACGGCAGAGAAATATCAGTCCTATGGAAATTGTTGCCCTGTGTGGCTAAGCTGTGTAAATTGGATGGACAAAATGGCAAATCAGCTCCCTCACATGGATTTAACCTGTGTATTTAGCCATTTTCCTGGAATTCATTTTTAAAGCCCCTCTGCGTGTTAAAAAAAAAGTTTGCCCATGTAGTGGGGCTGTGCCCCCACTGCACAGATTAACTGCTCATTTTTTTCTAGGGGAGAGGAGAAAGGAGATTTACTTACTTAATCCTCCGATCCTCCCATCATTAGACCAGTCTGACACCCTCACGTTCCAGCGATCTTGAGTTGTGGACTGTTCTTGACATCATCAAGCCCCGAGCAGGCTTCAAAGACCAGGAACAGACCACCACTGAACTGTGTGGGATCACTGTTTTTCACTGGAACAAAGGATTCGGTGAGTATAAGTTTTCTTCTCACCCCAAGACAAAACGAGCAGTTGTGCAAGCACAGCCCCACTGCATAGGAAAACTTTTTTTTATCCAAAAATGGGCTTTAAAGTGGTTATAAACCCTTATAGATACCCAGTGAAGTGACTAGGCCTAGGACTAGGACATGTGATGCACAGAGATGATACAGATCCTCCTACAAAATTTGTACCTGTTTATTTGTATCCATCTGTCCTGTACATCCTTGTAAAACTCAGAAATGAAAAGGATTTTTCACAAACTCACAAAGCAGGGGGCGGGGAGCTGCAGTTACAAACTGTACAAGAGCTCTGAAAACTGATTGGAGGGAAGGGACACATAGCACACAGGAACAGGGTTGAGGCTGATAATCAGCTGGAGGTCCCTCCCTTGCCACAATTTTTCTATTGGTGTTAGGAAAACTTGTCAGAAGTAACTCATGCTGATAACAAAGGAACTAGACAGCAAACGAAAATGACACTTCGTGGTTTGGAGAGAGGCAAGTGAACACTATATAA